CTCTTCTTTGTCTCATCTATTATATTGTTACCCCTAGCCCACACACCAACATCTTAACCCATGCCCACACCAACAACTTAACACACCCACACCAACAACCTTAACTCATGCCCACAAATAACTTAACTCATGCCAGCAAATGCCCACACCAACATCCCAACCCATGCCCACAACCAACCCACATCCACTACCGATCTAACACACTTCTCCTCTTCAGTTGACTCATAACATTACTAACACCAACAATATTTCCTCACTCAGTCATCAAAACAACCCACCAATATATATTTTTTATCAATAGATTCTTTGTTTATTTGAAGGATTTATTACTGATAGAGAGGCAGCCGTTAGTTTGTTTATTTTCTACGGTCGATAATATCAATGATTATCCCTGTCTAATGCGCTTAGTTTGTTTACATTCATTACCAACGGAGGAGAGGGTGGGGAAGATCTGGACGTCACTGTGTCGCCTTCCTGGTGGCGTGACTCCGGAGCCCACAAAGGAGGACAGATTGGCTCGCGCGAGTTCTCTTGCCGCTGACCAGAACCATTAAAACACGATTTTAGTGAACGCGATTTGTGATTTTATGATTCAGGAATACAGCTGTGTGTGTGTGTGTGTGTGTGTGTGTGTGTGTTGTGGCAGGAGGAAACTCTGATAATCGCTCCCGTGAGTTATTTTCCGACCACTTGCTGCACGGCTCTTCGCCCATCAGTCAAGGTCAAAGCTTATGCTCGAAAAATCTAAGAAAAAACGAGATTTCTAAACAAAATCCTCTTTCTATTTTCTACCATTTTTTCTCTTATGGTAATTTATACTGACGTCATTATAAATCAAGCATAATGAAATATAAATTCTTCTTTATCGTCGTAATAGATGACAAGCGATAGCTCCAGGATCTTTTGTCAGCAGGACGTGCGCGTGTTTATCCCTGTCAAACACATTCATTGCTGGTGTCACAGTAGAGGATCAGAGCTCCCACGCCCGCACACGCCCTCACGAGACCCCCGCAAAACTCTCGAGTCTTGAGAGGTATTTTCCTGCACCTGCCAGGGATCATTCTTCCCTTTATTTGATTTTAGTAAGAAAATCGTCCTCCCTTATGTCACTTCTTCTTCAGACCAAACATATTAATTTGAAGTGTTTTAGTGGGTACTGACAGCTGCTGTCTGTACTGGTAACACACACACACACACACATGTATACATCTACCAACATAACATAAATACACACACACAAATTCCAGAATTTGTATACAAAGCATCATTTCCCGAGAAAATTAATAATTTCAAGAGTGAAGCGTCAGGACATACAATATTCACACAAGCACAGAGACAGGAGGAAGCAGCAGTCAGTCAGAGGAAAAGAATCAGTATCATCAAACGCATACAGGAGGAAGAACCATGAGGAGTTGAGACAGTGAACTTGTGCATTTTCTCATGTAGAAAGGAAAAAAAATTTAAGATCTTTACAAGCGAGATGAGACGAGAATGAGATCTCTCTCTCTCTCTCTCTCTCTCTCCCCCCTCTCTCTCTCTCTCTCTCTCTTTGTGTGCAGCTTACTGAGTTAACAGTAATAAGAAAATAACTAAGAGGTTCAGTAAGAGTGTTAAACAGCATCCCCATACTCTGTGGAATATCTTGAACATCCATGGAAAAAATGACAAAAATTACAACATCATGGCAGGAACGCTTGGGAGAGTTATTTATCCTCGTGGAGAACTGGGTCCTAGGCATGACTCTCCGGCCGTAAAGAACAAATAGACACAGCACAATGGACAGTAAAGTCTTCGATAGGCAAAACATAGCCTCGGAACTGAACTTAGAATGAGGATAGAGGCAAATCTTCATAACAGACAATTTAATGCAACGTTAATTATTCAGTTTGATAAGATAAAGAAAGTTAATACGAGGGAGGACAATGATATAAACATAATTATATAAAAATAACATCTTACCTCATGACAAATTCTCGACACTTGACACTACTGACATTTAACTGGGTCGAGTAAGTGAGAGGAGGATTAACGTTATATTCACTGAACTGTTCTCCAGAAATATTTAGAACTATATAGACCACAAATTTGATGCAGATGTTAGTAAAGATTTTCGAGAATTTTGTCTGAAACACTAATATTATATTACGTGTCAGTGTAGTGTCACACATTTAGACCATGAACACAGACACATGATTATAACAACATCTCAGCTGAACACGTTAAGTCAACAGCCCGGGACTCAGTGTAGGACCCTCAGCTAATCACATTACCTGCCTCTCCTCTACTAATTCCCTAAAATACATCAAATTACAGGCTGATTCAGGTGGCTCAAGATGATTACTTTTACTCTTCTTATCTTAGGGTGTCTCACGGTGGTCTGTCTGTGTGTGAGGAGACTGAGTGAGGGGGTGCTGTGTGGTGTGTGGACAGAAGGGTGCAATGTGGGTGTGAGGACCTGGGGTGTGTGGGGTGTGAGGACACAGGGTGTGTGACACACACACACACACAACAACCAAACACACAACAACACACAACAACACACACAACAAACAACACACAACACACACAACACACAACAACCCCAACAACACAACACCACAACACACAACACACACACACAGGGTGTAGGGACACATGGGTTAGGTGTGGGACACAGGTGTGTGGTGTGGGACACAGGGTTGGGTGTAGGGACACAGGGGTGTGGGTGTTGGGACACATGGGTTGTGGGTGTGGGACTTGGGTGTGTGGGTGTGGACACAGTGGGTGTGGGTGTGGGGACACAGTGTGCGTGGGTGTGGGACACAGGGTCTGGGTGTGGGACACAGGGTGTGTGGGTGTGGGGACACCCAGGGGTGTGTGGGTGTGGGACTGCATGGGTGTGGGACGTGGGGACACCAGGACGTGTGTGGGTGTGAGGACTGGGGTGTGTGGGTGTGGGGACACCAGATTGTGGGCGTGGGTGTGGGTGTGGGACTGGGGTGTGTGTGGGTGTGGACACAGGGTGTGGGTGGGACACATGGATGTGGAGCACATTTTTTGGTGTGGGACACAGTGGATTGTGGGTGTGGGACACAGGGGTTGTGGATGTGCAGGCACATGGGTGTGTGGGTGTGGGACACAGTGGGTGTGGGTGTGGGACATGGGTGTGCGTGGGTTGTGGGGACACATGGGTGTGGGACGTGGTTGTGGGTGTGGGCGTGGGTTGTGTGGGTGTAGGACAATGGGTGTGGAGTGTGGGACAGTGTGTGTGGGTGTGGGGACTAAGGGTGTGTGGGTGTGGGGTTTGGGGTGTGTGGGTGTGGGACACAGGGGTTGGCATGGATGCAGACCTGGGTTGTGGGTGTCAGGGACTTGGGTTGGGTGCCCAGGGACACATAGATTGTGTGGGTGTGGGACGTGGGTGTGGGTTGGGGACACAGGGGTGTGTTGGTGTGGGACACATGGGTGCGTGGGTGTGGAGCACAGTGGTTGTGGGTGTGGGGACACAGTGGGGTGTGGGACACATGGGTGTGTGTGGGAGTGGGGACCAGTGGGTGTGGGTGTGGGACACAGAGGTTATAAGTAGCCAGGGACACACATGGGTGCGTGGGTTGGCACAGGTGTGCGTGGGTGTAGAGACACAGGGGTGTGTGGGTGTGGGACACATGGGTGTGGGGACACTAGATTGTGGGTGTGAGGCACAGTGTGTGTGGGTGTAGGACTTGGGTGTGGGTGTGGGACACCAGGTTGTGATTATGGGGACACACATGGGTGTGGGACACAGATTCTGTGGGTGTGGGGACACAGGGTGTGTGGGTGTGGGGTTTGGGGTGTGTGGGTGTGGGACACAGGGTTGTGTGGGCGTGGGGACTGTGGTTGTGTAGGTGTGGGGACAAAGGGATGTGTGGTGTAGGCACAGGGGTTGTGTGTGTGGGACACAGGGTTGTGGGTGTGGGCTGGGGTGTGTGGGTGTGGGTTTGGGGTGTGTGGGTGTGGACACATGGGTGTGTGTGGGTGTGGGACACAGTGGGTTGGGTGTGGGACACAGATTGACGGTTGCAAGGACTTGGGTGTGGGTGTAAGGACACAAGTGTAGGGACACAGGTGCGTGGGTGTAGGGACACAGGGGTGTGTGGTTGTGGACACAGGGTGTAGGTGTGGGCACAGGGTTTGGGTGTGGGACACAGTGTGGGTGGAGCACAGTGTGTGGGCGTGGTAGACACAGAGTGTGGGCGTGGGTTGGGGTGTGGGTTGGGCGTGTGTGGGCTGTGGGACACAGTGGGTGTGGGCTGGACGTGGGTGTGGGACACATGGGTGTGTGGGTGTGGGGACCTGGGTGTGCGTGGGTGTGTGGGGACACATGGGTGTGGGGACACGTGTGTGGTGTGGGACACAGGGTGTGTGTTCGGGACTGTAAGTGTGAGGACACAGGGGTGTGTGGGTGTAAAGGGACACAGGTTGTGGGACGTGGGTTGGGTGTGGTGTGGGCTTGGGTTGGGTGTAGGGACACAGGGGTGTGCGTGGGTGTGGGCACACAGTGTGTGTGGGACACAGTGTGTGGGTGTGGGCACATGGGTTGTGGTGTGGACACATGGGTGTGTGGGTGTGGGGACTGGGGTGTGTGGGTGTGGGGACACAGGTGTGGTGATGGGACACATGCGTTGTGGACGTGACACAGGTTGTGGGTGTGGGACTTGGGTGTGGGTGGGACACAGTGTGTGTAGGTGTAGGGACACAGGGTGTAGGGACTTGGGTGTAGGGACACAGGGTGTGTGGCTGTGGCGACACAGGGTGTGTGGGTGTGGGGACACAGGGTGTGGAGTGTGAGGGACACAGGGGTGTGTGGGTGTAGGGACACAGGGTGTGTGGGTGTGAGACAGGGGATTGTGTGGGTGTGGGACACAGGGGTGTGTGGACGTGGGGACACAGGGGTTGTGTGGGTGTGGGACACAGGGGTGTGGGATGTGGGGACACAGGGTGTGTGGGTGTGAGGGACACAGGGGTGTGTGGGTGTGGGACACAGGGGTGTGTGGAGGACACCCATATGCAGGGACACCAGGGATGAGTGCGTGTAGGGACTGAGGGCGTGGGGTGTAGAGACACAGAGGGTGAGGAAGTGGAGCACAGTGACTGCGGGCGTGCGGGGCGTGTGTGGGCGTGGGACACAGGCAAAAGTCCAAGGGACTGAGGTCGGGCGTGGGACTCAGGCGCGTGGCGTGGGGACAGGGTGTGTGGTGTAGGGACACAGGGTGGGGCGTAGGGACACAGGGGTGTGTGGTCATAGCGAAACAGGGTGTGGGGCGTGAGGGACTGCAGGCGAGTGGGAACACCAGAGGTGTGTGGTGTGGGGGACACAAGGGCGTGGGGTACACAGGGGTGTGGGGTGTAGGACACAAGATCGTGTGGGCAGCAATGATGGGGTGGTGGGTGCAGGGACACAGGGCGTGTGGGTATGGACACAGGGGTGTGCGGACGTGGGACACAGGCGAGGGTGTGGGGACACAGGGTGCGGGCGCAGGAACACCCAGGGCGTGCGGGGACACAGGGGGCGCGGGCGCAGGGACTGGGGCGTGGGGTGTGACACAGGCGGCGGGGTGCAGACACAGGGGTGCGTGGGTGTGGCGACACAGGGGCGCAGATAAACAGGGTGTGGGCGTGGGGACACAGGGCGTGTGTGGTGACTGCGGTGGGGTGCAGGAACACAGGGGCGATGGGTGGTGACACAGGGGTTGTGGGGTGTGAGGCACAGGGTGTGGGCGTAGACACAGGGGCGTGGGCGCAGACACAGGGCGTGTGGGTGGGGACACAGGCGTGTGGGTGCAGAAAAACAGGCGTGTGGGCGTGGGGACACAGGGGTTAAATGGATCTGGGGACGTGGTGCAGGGACACAGGGGTGTGAGGGTGTGGGGACACAGTGTGGCGTGGGGACACAGTGTGTGTGGGTGTGGGGTACAGGGTGTGTGGGGTGAGACACAGGGCGTGTGGGGTGACACACAGGGGTGTGGGGTGTAGACACAGGTGTGTGGGGTGTGATGACACAGGTGTGGGTAGACACAAACAGGTGTAGGGACACCAGGTGTGTGGGGTGTAAGGCACAGGGTGTGGGGTGTAGGACACAGTGTGTGGGTGTGAGGACACAGGCGTGTGGGGTAGGGACACAGGGTGTGTGGGGACACATAAGTGTGGTGTGAAGACACAGGGGTGTGGTGTGTGGACACAGGTGGGTGGATCAGGGCCCCAGGACTGCGGGCGCGGACAGGTGGCGGGTGTGGACACAGAGACTGCGGGCGGGGACACAGGGGCGCGGGGACACAGGGGTGTGCGCGTGTGGGGACACTGGCTGGCAAGGGACACAGACTTGACAGCAGGTGCGGGGACACAGGGTGTGAGGACACAGGGGCGCAGGGACATGCAAGGCGTAGGACACAGAGGCGTGTGGGCAGACACAGGTGCGTGGGGTGACAATATGGGTGTGGGGCAGAGACCTGCGGCGTGTGGTTAACCAGATCACAGCTGCGTGTGGGCACACGGTGGCGTGTGGCGACACAAGGCGGTGGGTGGGGGACACAAGGGCGTGTGGGCGTGGGGACACAGAGGTGTGCAGGTGAGGACACAGAGGCGCGGGGGACACATATGCGCGGGCGCAGGACATGGAGTGCGCAGACACACAGGCGTGTGAGGGACACACACAGTGTGGGGACACAGGAGACAAAGGGGCGCAGGGACACAATGGTGGGCGTGTGGTGACACAAGGGTAGTGTGGGGACACAGAGATTACTGGGGTGTGTGGGGGACTGAGGACACAGGGTGTGTGGGGTGACACAATATGGACACAGTGACTGGGGTGTAGGGACAGGCGGTGGGTGGGGAAACATGGGGCGTGGGTAGGGACACAGGCGTGTGTGTGGTCTGAGACCGGCGTGGTGGGTGTAGGGACACGAGGGTGCGGTCTTGGGACACAGGGTGTGTGGGTGTAGGGAACAGGGTGCAGGGGTGTGGGACTTAGGGTGTGTGGGGTAGGACACAGGGTGTGTGGGGCATAGGGACACAGGGGTGTGTGTGTGTAGACTGGGGTGTGTGGTGGGTGACACAGGTGTGTGGGTGCAGAGACCTTAGGGGTGTGGGTGTAGGACACAGGGTGTGAGGGTGTGGGGACACAGGCGTGTGGGCAGGGCACACAGGGGGACACAGGCGAGACACAGGTGTGTGTGGGTGTAGGACACAGGGAGTGGACAAGGGACACAGGGTGTGACCTGGGGTGTAGGGACACAGGGTGTGGGGACACAGGGACAGGGTGTGACCTGGGGTAGGACACAGGGGTGGGGACACAGGGTGAGACAGGGGTGTGTGGGACACAGGTTAGGGACACAGGTGTGGGGACACAGGGTGTGCAGAGACCTAGGGTGTGGGGACACCCCAGGGTGTGTGGGTGAGGGACACAGGTGTGGGACACAGGGTGCAAGGACACAGGGTGTGTGGCGTGTGGACACAGACTGAGGGAAACAATATAAGGACACAGGTGTGTGGGGCAGGACACAGGCAGGCACAGGTGGGTGACTGGGGTGAGTGGGTGTGTGGACACAGGACACAGGGACACAGGGGGGACACGGGTAGACACAGGGATGTAGGGACACAGGTGCAGGGACACAGGGTGTGTGGGGTGGGACACAGGTGTGGGGACACAGGGTGTAACGACACAGGGTGTGTGGGTGTAGGGACCAGGGTGTGGGACAGGGTGGGGTGAGACATTGAGGGTGTGGGGGGGGTGTGTGGGTGTAGGACACAGGGTAGGGACACAGTGTGTGTGTGGGCACACAGGGCGTAGGAACACAGGGGTGTGTGGGTGCAGGACACAGGTGTGGGGCAGGCGGTGAGGGACACAGGATGCGTGTGGTAAGGCACACAGGGACACAGGGACACAGGGTGTGTGTGGGGGACACAGGGTGTGGGACACAGGGGTGTGGGGACACAGGTGTGTGTGTGGGGACACAGGGTAGGGGACACAGGGTGGGGTGTAGGGACACAGGTGTGGGGACACAGGGTTCGTGTGGGTGGGGGACACAGGGTAGGGACACAGGGTGTGTGGGTGTGAGACACAGGGTGCAGGGACAGGGTGGTGGTATGGACACCCAGTGTGTGGGTACACAGGGGTTGGGGACCACAAAATTGTGTGGGCAAAGACACAGATTGTGGAGGGACACAAGTGTACAAGGACACAGAGGCGCAAGGACACAGGAAGGCGCAGACACAGGGCGTGGGGACACAGAGATCACAGGGTGTGACACAGGCGAGACGAGTGGGGACACAGGGTGTGGTGACACATTATGGGTGCAGGACACAGGGCGTGTGGGTGTGGGACACAGGGTGTGGGGACACAGGGTGTACACACAAGACACAGGGTGTGTGGGGTAGAGACACAGGTGTGGGGACAGGGTGTAGACACAAAAGACACAGGTGTGTGGGTGTAGACACAGGGTGTAGGACACAGGGTGTGGGACACAGGGGTGTGAGGGTAGAAAACAGGGTGTGAGGGCGTGGGGACACAGGGTGTGGGGACACAGAGACTGGGGCGTGGAGAGGGACTTGTGGGTGAGGACACAGGGGCAGGGACACAGAGGCACGAGGGCGACACAGGTGTAGGCACACAGGGGTGTGTGGCTTGGGTACACAGGGGTGTGGGGACACAGGGTGGGACACAGGGGTGTGAGACCAGGGTGTGGCGACACAGGGTTACTGGGGTGTAGGGACACAGGTGTGTGTGTGTAGACACAGGTGTGTGGAGACACAGGGGTGTAAGGACACAGGTGTGTGGGTGAGGGGACACACAGGTGTGAGGGTGTGTGGACACAGGATCTTAGGGACACAGGGTGTGGGACACAGGGTGTGTGGTGTAGGGACCCACAGGGGTGCTTGAGGGACACAGGTGTGTGGGTGTAGGGACACAGGGGTGTGTGGGTGTGGGGACACAGGTGTGTGGGGACACAGGGTGTGGGGACCTGGGGAACAGGGACACAGGGTGTGTGGGTGTGGGGACACAGGGTTGTGTGGGTGTGGGGACACACAGGTGTGGGGACACAGTTGTGTGGGTGTGGGTTTGGGGTGTGTGGGTGTGAGGGACTTGCAGGGTGTGGGGACACACCCAGGGGTGGTGTGGGTGTGGGTTTCAGTGTGTGGTTATGGCGACTTGCAAGTGTGTAGGTGTAGGGACACAAGTTATTGGGGTTTGGGGTGTAGGACACAGGGGTGTGGGGACACAGGGTGTGTGGTTGTGGCACAGGGTTTTATGGGTGTGGGACACAGGGTGTGTGGGTGTGTGGGGACACAGGGTGTGTGGGTGTGGGGACACAGGGGTGTGTGGGTGTGGGGACACAGGGTGTGGGGACTGGGGTGTGGGTGTGGGGACACAGGGGTGTGGGGACTGGGTGTGGGGACACGGTGTGGGTGTGGGGACACAGGGGTGTGTGGGTGTGGGGACTGGGGTGTGTGGGTGGGGACACAGAGTGTGTGTGGGTGTAAAGACACAGGGTGTGTGGAGTGTGGGGACACAGGGTGTGTGGGTGTACAGAGGAGGATGTACTAAATGAGTTTTTGTTTTATTTTTATTCACATAACAATTTACGTGGAGAAACTTGTTGGAATTTTCCAGGATAAAAGTGTGTGATTCATGGTCAGGGCAGACTGTGTTTAACGAGGAGTCAATGTACTCTATTTTGCTGGATAACAAGGAGCCATCTCCTGCTGCTGTCAGTGGTCAGCTCCATAGCACCTGACCCTACTACTGTCGTATGTTCTCTCTTACTTCAACAACTGTGCTCCAATTGAAACGTTGTACCTCAACTTGGGTTTGTCCTCTCTCCTGTGCACAATGACTCATCACAATTAATAATAACATTAGAGATATCATTCTTGCTTTTATGACTTTTAAGACTGCAGACAGGAGCCAGTTGTCCTGGATGTTTCCCAATTGGGCCCTACTGGTAACAGAGGTTCTTAAAATTTCGAATTACGTTTTAGTGTGGTTGACTCTCTGCAGTGTTAAACAGGCGTTAATAACCTTGTTTAATGTTATGTCAGTCAGAGAATATTCTACCATGACACACCTGAGGTTATTATAGAATAAACATTACCCTGTATTACATGGCAAGGATTTTGGTGGACAGATGAGGTCCTCCAAATGGCCAAGATATTTAGATAAATTCATTCTGGAATATTTCTTGTCATGTTTTAAGATGACTGAAGGAGGTATATGAAATATATATATGTAGTTATTTAGAAGTCATGTGAAACTATCACCAACGTTTAACATATAAATAAATACCTCTTAGAAAACTTTACGGCAAAAGGTGACAACTTGAAGAAGTGTACAGTGTGGAGAAACTTTCAGCAGTCACCACCACGCCTCATATCGCTGCTGGGCAACACAACACTCATAACAGACTCAGGAAGACGATCCTCAGAGTGGCCTGGTGATACGCCCTCTATAGCATATTTTCAGATAATCTATTACAATTTTTTTATTGGTTGTGCAGGAGACAAAAGGATGTGACACTGGTGATTAAGCAAACCCCAAGGTGAGATTTAGAGCAGCTCTGCAACAACATGATAAGCCAGTGCTCCTCTTCAGGCCTCTGCACCCTTAACAAAACCTATTTCTTGTGTTAATTTATTTGAGGGCAGAAGATGTAGCCAGAAGTGGGTGTGGGTGCTTAGTGAGATTAGGTCAGGTTGGGGACCTGTGGGACGGGGCTCGTGGACTGGACCTCAATCCTAGCAATACGTGAAAAAAAAAAAAAAAAA